GGAGGCTGCATTTTGAACTTAATTTATGAAAGTCAGCTCTGGTCTGTAAAGAAAAGGGAAGGGGGTGAGGGTGCCGTGTCCTAAGGGCAGCGGGGTGAGTTGCTGACTGCTCAGGTGAAGAAAAATGGCACCACCTGAAGCTGATGGAGGAGACACAGAATTATCAAATGGAGGAGAGAACAATTCCAAAAGAGAATTAAAATAATAAGTGGTTCAAGATGTTGTTACACATTTTTTAATGGTTCTCGCTTAACTGGAACTTCTGCTACATCAACTGTAGTTTTTAAGTTTCTTCTCGAATGCTCTTTTTTTTTGTACCCGAACATAGACAGACACTCACGCTGGCTCATCTAGGGGGCCCTGCACATGCTCCGGGCTCAGGGCTGTGGGCTGCCCTCTTCCCTCTGCCCGGACTGCTCCCCTACTGCTTTACCCCTAACTGCTCAGAAAAGCCTTCCCTGGCCACACAAAGGCAGCTGCCCCCTCATTTTCTACCCTGGCATCCTGCTCCCTCCTCAGAGCTCTGAGCCCTGGGTCACTCGGAGCTCCAGGGGGGAGGAGGGCGGCCGCTAATTCATCAGGCCCCTCTAGCACCCACCCCAGTGGCTGCTGGGAATCAATGAAACAGTTTAATGAGCAAATTATTCCCGTGTTAACACTGGAGAAAATGAAGGCTCCAAAGGCTTAGGTCATGTATCCAAGGTCCTACGGCTTGTTTAGGGGTTGGAGGCCAGATCTCACAGGCTCCCAAGTCTGTCCTTTCACAAGTCAGTGTTGCCTCTAATCTCCCGGAGAAAGGAAAATACTCTCTTCTTGCAGTGGGGACAATATATGGCACCTGGTGGAATCGAGCATAGCCTCAGACGGCCGTAAGGGCCGATCACGGAGACCTGCTGTTCAGTCCTCCGCAAGGACGGGGGCGAGCCACTGGGCAGGCTGCCTCGCGCCTCCCAAAGGCCTCCCAGTGCACCTGCTATGCCCCTGTCGCCGAATGAATGCAGAGTGCACTGATTCACAACCGTCCTTGGGAACTGTGTATCCCCAAAGCCCAAAGCAGGGAGAGAGACATCAAATTCATAGCTCTGGTGACGCCGTCCCGGAAATGTCAGAGGTGCTGTTCACCTGTGACAGCTGAAGGGGACAGTACCTGAACCGACTTTGTAAAGCATCTCGAGATGTAAGGAGGTAGCAAATACAGAAAAAAATTCCAGTAAGTCAGTTTTCAGTGGAGGTGGTAACACGTTAGGGAAAAACAGTAATAGTAATAATAATAACTGACAGTTTTTTGAGCCTTAATTCTGCCCCACATCCTGTTCTAGATTAATCTTTACGCCCAACTATGACTTAGGGACTGTTAATAGCCCCATTTTATTTAGATGGGGAAAGCCCCCTAGCAATTCAGTGCCCCTTGGAATTCAAACCCAGGCAGAGTAGCTCCTGGACCCACTGCCGTCACCCCCCTCAGCTCCCCGAGACGGCGACAGTAACCACTAAATTTATGAAAGGTCTAGCGTGGTCCACACTCCACAAAGCTTTAAATGCATCTGCTCCTTGAATTCTGTCAACACTGGAAGACACGTACTGTTATTACCGTATTTCACAGCTGAGGAGTAAACAAAAGCCACAGGCTGTGAGTCTCTGAAAGGGCATTTAAGTGCAGGGGGCCCTAGAAGGTTGTGCTCCCTATCCGCCCCCCTTAAAAAGTTCGGCCCACCGAGCCCCTTCTAAAGAGGCTCTGCCTGGTCCAGTTGCACTGGTTTCTCAGGCTCTTTGAGTAAAATACCAAACCTTCTTAGTGAACGTCTATCTGTGTGATATTTTATGAAAATACTTTCAGTGTTGGGTGACTCAGAAAAAGTGACTATAAACTTAATGACATGTTAGGGTGTTAATCATTAGAGCATCTGCAGGCATTTGAAAACCTGAGATTTAAAAAAATCAGTCTTCAGAGCTAGCAAGTTCACGGACGCTTTGTAATACCTGTATGATCAGGACCCCCCATCTCCCCCTTTCAGGGAACCTGGACATGTCTGCTCTAAGACCCTCTGATGGTTCAATGACGGGTTTCTTTCTCCAAAGAACTGTTTCTCAAGACACTTACGAAGGCATGACCAACAGGCTGGCATCTGAGGAAAGACCGATCATGTGGTAGAAGAGCAGAGGCTTCAGGGTTTGAAAAGTGGTCCAGCTGTTTACAAATGGCATAATCCTAGGCCCGGGACCAAATTCTCCTGAGCCTCTGTTTCTCCTTCTATAAAATGCAGTGTCACCCGAAAATATTCACTGAACACTAACTGTACGTCAGGCAGTGTGCCGGGTACTGGGAGATCAAAGGTAGGACATAGTTTCCACCTCCTAAGAACTTTGCAGACCAGTGAAAAGTGACGACGGTGGCATCTAAGTTGTAGGGAGAGCCTGGCATGTTCTAAGTGATCCATAAACGGCAGTCACCTTTCTTGTTTTAACCCATGATCTGAACTGTATGTGACACTGAGGTTAATAAATCCACCCAGGAAGGATTTCTGAGAGGCCAAACCTCTTACACTTCTGCAATTAAGTTTTTAGGATTATTAAAATAAAGCAATACTCCAACTATAATTCTTATATATTCTTTGATAATTTTTTAAATTACATACTAAGATGCTTAAAGTAAAAAGGACAAGGAAATAATTCAAATATATAGAAGTTTATGTATAATAGTTTAGTGGCTAGATATAAGCTTCTTTATCCTTAAGGTTTGAGGCTGACTGAAATGTTTGCAATAGATTTCTTAGGATTGGTATTTTGAAATAAAAGCATTTTATACCTTGCTCAAAATATACTAGATGGCCCATAAATGGAAGCCACTATCAATACTACTATAATAATGAATTCAGAGATTCTCAGTGAATCTGACTCCCTTCATGTCATAAACAAATAAAAAGTATGCCTTTGAACAGATACATGAAAAGCAACTGTAGTATATTTCACCTGAAGAATATTCTCTGGGGGTAGAGGAGCTTCCCGGGGCCCCTTCTGGCTTCTGTTTTTGCTCACATACTTGGTCCAATTCAGTCCCTTCCCTGGGACCCCCCTCAGCTCATAAAATCAGACAATAACAGTGTAGCTGATATGGTATTTGTTGTTGACTGGCAACAATCACATATGGTAACACACGGAAAGCACCTTCTACAACCTGGCTCATAGTGCTTACTTAGTGGTACCGGACATTCTTGTGACCATCAGAACTGCATCATAAAGTAACTGCATGGACTTAAATATGAGGTCAAAGCTCTCTCATTTGATGCCTATTCTAGCACCTGGAGTAGAGCAGAAGCTTCACGAAAGCTTGCCAAAGAAAGGAGTAATTGTTAGCTTCAGTGATGATAACTAACTGATCTAAGGCCACCTGGAGGAGCTCTGGTATCAGGTGGACAGCCTGTCCCAACTGGCATGATAGTTCAAAAATCTCGGCGGGATTGTGGGAGGCTGAGGACTCTGAGGGGTCACCCCGAGGGTTCTGCAAGGGACAAAGGACAGAGATAACGTAACTGCTCAAGTTCCATAAAGGCCAATGACCGTTAAGATGCATGGGATCTTCCAGCAGGAAGGGTGTGGCCACACATATATAGTGATTACCTTCTGGGTACCAAGGTCTGTCGGGAGGGTGGGGGGGTGTCCTGCAGAAAGAGGAGTAGGACCTGGTAAGTGGCCCCGGGGAGCGAAGGGTCTAGCGGGATGATGGGGCCCTGCAGGAAGAGAGGCAGAACGCGAGGGGGCGCTAGCCGCAGTACTTGTCCACTACTAGCCAAGTCACTGTGCTTCTCTGGACCCTAGTTTCTTCATCTGCAGGGATGAAGGAATGGTCCCTGTATGGGTTGTAGAAGGGATTAAGGGAAATAAATTTTAGGACGTGTCTGGCAGGAAGACGTGCTTATTAAGTGGTACTTCTTGTTCAACAGAGGAAAATCAGATCTCAAGTGTGAATAATGAAAACTTGCCAATGTAAGAAATTGCTCATCCCTCATTTTTACCATCCTGCTAGCAATTAACTGTTCATCATACATCGAAGACGTCACTTGGCACGGACACTGAAGTTTCCCCGAGCCGCTCTCCAAGCTGGGACTGCTAGCTTTAGCTGCACTCACGTCTGTAAAGATTCTTGCTCTACTGTGAGGCTCCCAGTCCCACCCGATACATTTTCCATTCTAATCTTTGCATCTTTAAGAAGAAGAAGCCATTTCTTGCTAGTTTTAAAAGAGGACAACAGTAATTACTTATTTTATGGTACATGTCCCGACTACCACTAAGATTGAACCTTTTTGACAGTATATTAATTCTGCCAAGACAAGACTTGCAGTTGAAAATGGGGGATACCAAACAAAAATTCTAGCCAGATTGTAAGTATCAACTCTAAGTATGCCATATATATATACATACAACTGACAATGATCTCAAGAGAAAACAGAATCTAAGTGTTAATAGCTTACTTTCTACTTTCCACTGAATTATCTTTATTCCTAAAGAAAGGGGGGGGTCACAGGTGAGGCAATCTTATGATTTCAGTTTTATTTATACACATTTTAGCCCTTCACCATAATGATGGACTTTCTGAGTAATTTTAATAGTAACAAACAAAAAGATGAACATATCGTACACATTATTTCATTTCCTAATTATTATTTCATGCAAAGAACCCCTCTGTCATCTTTATAATTCAGGAAACTTCAGGTTTTTCAGAACCACCAATGAGATTTCCCCGAAGCTAAGATTACGAAATAACAGAATATTGAGGGAACCAGCACAGGAACCTAGAGGGGCAGGAGAACGAAGCAGGGGCCACAGGACAAGATGAGACCGATTCCTGCCGTGAAGGCACACCCCACACTGTGTGGCCCTGATGCATACATCACGCACACCTGGGGGGGATTTCAGGGCTGGGTCCATCGCGTCTTTGCTTCCTGGTCCCCATGGCCAAAGGCCTCACAGGCGCAACATGGTAAATTAACAGGTGCACTTACCGTGGCGTGTGAGATGGTCAGGATCCCATTCTTGACCGCACACTTCCTCCTCTGCCACACTTTCCGGAGCCTGGAGAGCGAGTCAAACACAATCTGATATAGTGGCTGGTTTACTCTGTGACGTGCAATTATGCCGTGTTATGTATGAATGCGACGATTGTTACAAAATCCTAACAACAAAGCAACCCCGAACCCAAACCCACATAACTCAGGAAACATTATTATCCCTGGTGGCAGGTAATTCAGACTAGGAGGCATAGACAAGGATGCTCATTATAGCACTGTTTTTTTTTTTTCAATGTTTATTTTTGAGAGAGAACGAGAGAGAGCGAGCGAGCGAGTGAGCGCACGAGCAGGGGAGGGGCAGAGAGAGAGGGAGACATAGAATCCAAAGGAGGCTCCAGGCTCTGAGCCATCAGCACAGAGCCCGACGTGGGGCGTGAACTCACAAACCATGAGATCATGACTTGAGTTGAAGTCGGACGCTCAATTGACAGAGTCACCCAGACGTCCCTACAGCACTGTTTTTGATAGTCAAGTGGGAACAACAGAAATCTAATAGCAGAATGAATAAATGCATTTTAGTTACTTTCATATTATAGAGGATCATGTAGGAATTTAAAAGGATCAAGTAACTATGTCTGTATTGACATACATTTCTAAAGCATACTATTGACTGAAAAGAGCAAGCTGTTTTAAAATAATTCAGGTATGATCTAGTAATGTTAAAATTTTTTTAAAATATCACATATAAAATGGGACCCTAAGTTTTCTCAGGGTACATAAATATATGTACAAACATACAAAAGAAGGTCTGGAAAGAGGCACATTATACTGACCAAAGTACTCCTCTCTGGGAAGGAGGTCCAGACCTGTACTAGGGGTCACGCTAAAGAGTTGTTTTTTTCTTTTCTTTTTAAAAATATTTATTTATTTTTGAGGGACAGTGTGTGAGCAGGGGAGAGGCAGACACAGAATCTGAAGCAGGCTCCAGGCTCCAAGCTGTTGGCACAGAGCCCGATGCGAGATCATGACCTGAGCTGAAGTTAGACGCTTAGCCAACTGAGCCACCCAGGCGTCCCAAAAGAGTTTTTAACCGTATCCATGAATCTTCTGCAAGAAGGCTGTTTGAATCTATTGCTTCTGTAATTAAAATGAAATCTAAAGAAATTGAAAGAGTAACTCAAGACGTCTGCCAGGTAAGGAGGAGTGAGGGGCAGGGGCTGCCTCAGGACCCAGAGAAAGGAGCTCAGGCTCATGGATGAACATTTTTGGTCACTTGTACACCTCTCCTTCGGGCTGACACGTCTGCTCAGAAAAAGCCAAACAGAACTCATTCCAATTTGGCAGTTTTGCTTTTGGTGAAGCTCCAGATACAGGTGAGTCTCTGAGTGGCAACGTGCACCCGTGTGGGCAGGTACAGGTGTCCTAGTGAAGAGCAGTCCCACGAGGAAACAGAAACCTACAGGGAGCAGGGCTTCTCTGGGCTAGGACAAGGCTTCTATGGCCTTGGGTTGTCATGGAAACAGACAACATTAGAGGAGAGAACTGTAGATGCTCTTGGACATTTAAAGTAGTATCATCATGTGTTTCCTTTTCCTTCTTAAATGAGGCCTCTACGAAACCTGCCACAATATGAGTTTAAAACCAACTCCAAACACAGATACTGTTGTCTTGTTGTGTGTGTAACCACTGGTGCCATGGTTTAATCCAAGGCAGCTTTGGAGAGGGAAATTATCTGACACCATCTGACCAAAAGTAAACTGAACACACTGCGCTCAGAGAGCCAGTATCTTCAGGGGGTAAATGCAGAACTACTGATGGATAAATTGCCCTCGGATTACAGTGACATCACCGACCAGGGGAATGGCCAATGAGAGGTGACATCTGTCACACGGTCATACCTGTGTTCGGTGACTATAGCCAATGCTGTCATTAGTCTGGCATCCTACCTCAGCCTCGTAAAAGCCTCCTGAATCAGGGGCGTATTCCTTGGACTCACTAAGCCCAAACAGCTGTCATCCTTTTTTAGCAACATATTTTAAAGTATCAACCAACCAACCTAAAGAACAGTCAACCATGAAGAAATTGTCCTGCCTCAGTTTACTCATTTTATTTAATAAAACCTTAATTCATTAGTTTTCTTAATGTATAGTAAGGAAACACAAAACCAAACACAAAATTGAGTTCTTTTGCATTAGTAATAAAGCCAGGGAAAGTAACACCAAGGCATTAACCTTCGGCTAACAGGAATTGATCACATGGTGCTCCAGCCAGAGGGGAGCAAAATCAAGTCAATCTGTGGACAGCCCCAACTCTGTGAACATTTTGAGAGCTTTAACTGGAGATTTCCATGAAATGGCCTCCATGCCCACGCTTTCCCCTTTCTGTACAGAAAGCTTTAAGAATGCTTGCCTGTGAAGCTCCTGAATGGGCGTACCACAGACTTCTACCATCTAACCAGAGAGCATCATACAGGATCCAAGTTACATCGTACTCAAACCTCAGAGTTCCAGAAAGGGAATTTTCTATGAGAAGGTGGTCTAGTATCGCCAAACAAGTTCCAACTCTGAGACTCAATTATGTGGGCTTCAATGCCAGCACCATCCCCCACCAGCCACTGGGCTTTGCTCACGTTACTATCCTTGTGGACGCTTGCTGGCCTTCCTCTGAGTCATGAATATAATAATGCCCATCCTCTACAACTATTGTGACAAAATATATGTAGAACAGCTACTCCTTTGCCTCTCAATAAATGCCTTTGGATCCAAAGTTTTAAAATTACTTAAAAAATTTTTTTAAAGTGTTTTTTAAGTTGTGTAACAATCCTTTAAGTGACAAGGAGTATTCCAGAACTGGAGTCAGAATTTACTAAAGCAAAAGATCCTTTGGAGACAATCACATGACCCCTCAGTAGTCACTGTCAGCAAGTGAGTCTGTCTTCATGCAAGCATTGCAATTCTTTCCTCTTCCACAGCCAGAGCTGACAGGCCCCTCTGGCTTATCATTATTTACCCCCCGCAGCCTGTGCAATGACAGGAGGCTGGCCCACCTCTCGTGTGCCGATTACCTTCCGGCATCTGGCCGACTGCCCGAGACACCAGAGTCCTTGATAAATGTGTGTGAAACGAGTGTACGAAGGAAGGAGGCCAGAAGAATGGGGGAGTCAGGCATGTGAGTGGATGACAGCTGATGCCCTCTAGGAACTAGGAAGGGGGATATACCCCAGCATTAACTCAGAAGAGCCTCGTTAGAAGTTGGGCTCTTGGGGCGCCTGGGTGGCTTAGTCGGTTAAGCGTCCGACTTTCGCTTAGATCATGATCTCGCAGTTCGTGGGTTCGAGCCCCGCGTCGGGCTCTGTGCTGACTGCCAGCTCAGAGCCTGGAGCCTGTTTCAGAGTCTGTGACTCCCTCTCTCTCTGACCCTCCCCTGCTCACGCTGTCTCTCTCTCTCTCCTAGAAATAAAGAAAACATTAAAAAAAAAAAAAGAAGTTGGGCTCTTGTAGGATCTCCATTACTTCCTCCTTCTGAAGGAGCAGCCTTCCTAACAGAAGGTGTTGAATGGGCTGAATGACAGGCACCTGGCGGTGTCTGGCAGGCACACAGCACACACTCACAGGGGGACGCTTTCCCCGAACATTTCAGGTTTGAACCAAACAACAACTACGCAAAGACTCTGTTGAGCTTTCTCAACAGGTAGAAATTAGCCATGTCACTTAGAAACAGGTCAAAAAACAGGCACAGGTCAAGGAAACCCTCGCGCCTTTAGGCAAGTAATGTTAAACTACAGAAGTAATAAATTTTTGTCCACTACATACCATGCCGTTGGGGCTACAATTTGATCACTGTGTCTGTTAAGAAGAAGCCAGCTTAAAACTGTGATCTGAGTAACTAGAGTGTCTTTTCTTCTTTTAAAATGTGCACGATTTAATAGTCAACATTCACTGGCTTTCTACAAAGAGCAAGGTGCTGCACTACGTGCTGGGATATTTTTCTTTCTTTCTTTCTTTCTTTTTTAATGTTTTATTTATTTCTAGGAGAGAGAGAGACAGCGTGAGCAGGGGAGGGTCAGAGAGAGAGGGAGTCACAGACTGAAACAGGCTCCAGGCTCTGAGCTGGCAGTCAGCACAGAGCCCGACGTGGGGCTCGAACCCACGAACCACGAGATCATGACCCAAGCGAAAGTCGGATGCTTAACCGACTAAGCCAGCCAGGAGCCCCAGGGATGTTTTTCTTTCTTTACCGCTGCCGTATCAGCAATTCCTGGGGGGGCCTACCCTCATCATCCAGACTTTGACCTTCTTCCCCCTCTGGGGCTGTTCCCTGAATTCCCGTTACCTCTGACCTGGCCTCCTGTTTCCGCTCTTACATCCTACAGAGCTGTGCTCAGCCCAGCAGCCAGAGGGCCTTTCAAACGAGCCAGATTTTGGCATTCCTCTGCTTAAAACCCTCCAAAATACTCCCATCTTCACTCAGTGGCTTCCAAAGCCCTCCTGGCTTGGTGTCCTGTCCCCTCACTGTGTCTCCTGTGACCCCAGCTCCTCACTCTGTCCTCGCTACGCCAAACTCTGTGTGCATCACAAGAGGAAGTGTGCTCCTGGCCACCCCCTCCCCCAGATCTCTGTGGAGGATCCCCTCATTTCCTTCAAGTCTTTGCTTAAACACCTCCTCAAGAAGTCTTCCCTGACTACCCGTACACTGCAAGGGCCACCCCTACACACATCCAGGCCTTGCCTTGCTTTATCTTTCTCCATAGTACTTGTGACCATCTGACCTCCCATATACTTCCTTCTTCCTGGTCTGTTTCCTGACTTAGAATGTAAGCTCTAAAAGGCTAAAGACTTTCTCACTTTAGTGTTTATTTCTGAGAGAGAGGGAGGGAGAGAGAGAGCAGAGGCAGAGAGAAAGCAGGGGCAGAGGATCCGAAGTGGGCTCTGTGCTGACAGCAGAGAGCCCGATGCGGGGCTCAAACTCATGAACTGTGAGATCATGAGTTGAGCACAAGTCAGATGCCTTACTGACCGAGCCACCCAGGTGCCCCCTTTCTTACTTTTCTTGTTCAATGCCATATTTCCAAATGTCTCTTACAGTGCTTGACATATACTCAAATGCCAAAAGACATTAGTTGGATGTCTCAGTAGAACGATAAGCCAAAGTGACAGTGATCAAAAATTTAGGGCTGTAATTTACAGAAGTAACGGTTGAAATTTTAACAAAAAAATGTATATGTCTTAGATAAAAATCAAGGAGTGCATATCTACAAGCAATCAGAAAACAAGAGCCTTTCTTCAAAAAGAAAGGCAGTTAGTGTAAGTGAATAATTAAGGTTCTGCTCATGTACTGATTGTGAAGCAGAATTGCCGCTCAAGCAACGCAAAGGCGGCCAGCGCAGCAGGGCCCGGGAGAAACAGCACAAGACTAGGCTGGAGACAAAGGCAGAGGGGAGGCCCTCCCTGCGTTCCGAGCGTGGGAATGACCTGATGTGCTTTCTGTCTCGTAAAGGCTACTCTAAATGCTGTGCAGGAACCCACTGGAGAAGAGGGAGGGGCCGCAGGCCAGTCAGCGGGCGACCAAAACAGTTCAGGAGACAGCAGCGGCTCCTCAGGACAGGGCAGAGAGACGGCAAGGAAGGTAGGAGGTCTCGTAGTTACACTGGCCGTGACGTGGCAGAAGGAGAGGAGTCAAGGTGACTCTCGGGGCTGGGGTTTGGGCGGCCAGGCAGGCGCTCCAGGAGAGAAAAGGGCAACGGATAAAAGCGGAGAGGTGGGCGAGTATGAGGTCCGCAGCCGCTCAGCACCTGCTTCTCCCTAAAATGGCACATCTGTCACAAGTCATAGGTGACATTTAGGGACTGCGGGACAACGCCTGCTTCTTCTAAAGCCAGTAGGTTAAATCGCCTGAGCAAGACTGGTGAGAGAAAGGTCTGAAGCTCGTGCACTGGGAAGGTCTGAAGGGTGTTCTCCTAGCTGGGGGGTGGGAAGGGGTCCCTAGGTCACTAGCACCCAGGAAGGGCGCGAGGGGCCTCCAGGAGGGCTTCTACGTACCCATCACTTTTCTTCAGCAGGTAGCCCTTCTTCTCGCTGCCGTAGTCCTTATTGCCCTGGAGCTGATGCATGCTGTACCCTCCTTGCCGGCTCTGGGAGTCCTGGGGAGGAGAAGCCACAGATCAAACCGGTGCTGGGAACACTTCGCGAATGCTTCACTCTATTCTGCCGCTGGGCCTCTGTCCATGGGTCTGGGGGCGAAGAGAACTCCCAGAACTTTAAGGGCTGTCAGGTCCTTGCCTCTACTTCAGAGGAAACTGGGCAGGGAAACAAGCAGCAGCGTCCCGGGCAAGCCTGCGGCGGAGCAGGCGGCTGGGTGCAGAGCCTCCGTTTCTAGTTCAGACCCCGCCGTTTCCAGCTCGCGCTAGACCCGTTCACGCAGGCAGCGTGGGAAGGCAGGGAAACTGAGGCAGCTCCCGCACGGCATGCAACCTGAGTGAGTTCTTCCTCACGTGCGCCTCTTCTCTTTCACATGTTCTGCCAAAATGCCCACCATAAGGCAGTTCTAGTTCTGTAACTAACAAGGGGTCTGTAAAATAGGCTGTCAAGCACGCTTTTAATTAAAAAAAGGGGATTTTCTGGCCATGAAAAGTGGATGATGTGGGAAAAGGGTGACTGAGACCAGCAGAACAAGACAGAGGCAAACCAGCCTGATCTAATACCAGTACTCTGCTGATACCTCCCCCTCGTTTCTAAAGACTGCGTGACCAGACAGTCATTCCGTTCTGAAAATGGAAGAGATAAACCCACAAGGCTGAGCTGCAGAATGCGCACATGGGGTTTAGACACAGAAGCAGGACAATACAATCTCACAGAAAGTGTTGACTTACTCTCCTAGACTTCGATCAGGAAGGGCAAAGGCAACAGAGAAAAAGGGCAGAACATTTGAAAACATAGTTAATTTCATTGATAGTCATTGCTCTTTTAAATAAGCATACAGACAGTCATAAGCACTTTTTAATCACGTACAGAGAAAACACCATCGGAAAGATAATTAACACCAGAGCACAGCACCTTCAGAATCATGATAAACCTCAGGTGAAGGGACAGTTAAACATCCTATGCTTGTCCTATATTTGTTTTACTTTGGGTTATTGGAGTCAGACAGAAAAAACCTGCATGAAAGAACATGAGGTACACATCTCACCAAGATAAATCCACACCTCAGTGAATCCCACAATACGTGAGAAAACCTAAAAAGAACTAAAAATTGTAGAAGGGTTCTTTTTTAGTTTTCCAAGCAAAGAGAACATAATAAAAATAGCCAGTTCAGAAGTAACACTTGAAGAACCAGAAAGCGGACATAGCCGCTGGTTATTTACTGATGGCCTGGATACGAGATACCCTGAAGTCAGGATGGCCTCTCTCTGGCATTCGGGGTCCTTTTGGACCAATAGTATGTGCTCCGTGGATTCAAATTAAGGTTAGTAAGAGCTGAGAGAACCTCTCTAGGACTATGAGGCTATTCCACATGGGAGGAGTTCCATGTTCAAAAGCATGTCCTGAATACCTAAACAGAAAGGCACCTGGGTGGGGCACACCCCGTGCCCCTGGGGTGGGTGCTCATACAGTGACCACATGCTGTGCTGCTCCCTCCTGAAGGTAACTAGGTGCTGAATGCACACTTTATTGGGTAAACAGACTCACCCTGAAGAGGTTACAAATTCTAGTCATTTTTTAAATCTGAGTCATTTCTTGGTCTGAAAAGATTCCTTCCGGCTGAAACATCTAACGGGACATATTCAATCACCTGAGGGAGGGGTGGGGGGGTGGACTGGGGTCTAGGACTGTCTTCTGAAATTCTTCTATATGTTTATTTTTAATCAGGGCCCACAGCCTTGCACTCATAGTAACTTTTTAATGTTACTGAAATCTGAAATCTCCCTGCATAAAAATTCTTATGAAAAGAATAACTCCCTTCCTTTGAATGCTGTCCACTGAGCTAAGGGGCCCTTTGCCCATGGAACTGCTAGTCTGTCCGAATGCTTTCCAACTATGTAGCCCTGTCAGCAAGTTCATTAATCCTTAAAATAAAACAAGTTTTAAAAATAAGACTACTTTTCTTAAGCAAGGATTTGGATGCTAATAACTTAAGAAAAATAATTCTAAATTTGCCTCTAAGACATTCCCTACATACATTTATTACTAGCCTAAATAAACTTTACATTATGAATAATGAGCTGAGTGAGCTTTGCTCTCCATTGGGCAAATATGCTTTTATAGGTGAATAAAGTGGCTGATCTCCAGGCTCTGACCTCGGAAGCCCCTCCCATTACGCCGAGCAGGAAGGAAGCCATTCGTTTCAGAAGTCCAACCTGGGCAAGCCTACATTAACTACTAATGAGTTCTAAGACTTAAGGAAGTCCCACAAACGATAATTTCTGCACTCTGACAAACGAGGGCCATTTAGCTTGCTTTGCAGGGTGTCTAGATAAATGAAAAGAGGATTTTCTTTTTTTAAGAAAACAAATCGTGGAGCATTCACACTAATAATAGTTAACAAAGCAAGACACAATGGAAGGAATGAAACAGGTCCTGAATCCTTTGACAGCATAAAAAAAATCAACATGTATTCAGGAAAGAGAAATACGAGTGAGAAATCTATTCAGACAAAAAACACAAAACCAAACTTAAACACAATGAACTTCAAACCTTGGGGAAATTCCACAATGGGAGCCAAGAAATGGAAACTGTAGAATGAAACTATGGTGTTATTTTTTTTAGTTCAATTTTCTATTCTCTATTAGCAGGTACAGACAAATCACCTGACTTTCTTATTAGAAAACTGTATTAACATATAAAATGCATTATTATGGAGTCAAGTCTCAAATCTTTTTAGACTGCAAGCGATTACTGATTAATTTAATGGGGTTTCAGATGCTTCTGGCATCCAACCTAAAACTAACCTCTACTACCGAAGCTTCAAATCTCTTGTGGAAGGGATACATGGAGTGGGCCACGGTTCCTTTCTGTTTCACCTTATTTACTTAGTAAATACTTACTGAGTAACTTTTGGGTGCCAGATACTGTGGAGAGAGAGGTGAGCCAAACACAGAATGTGTCAAACACCTCGCAAACCACACTATCATGGGCTAGTGAGAGAGACTCAAAATGCTGGAATTTTGGGAAAGGTTTATGGATGTCATTATTAAAAATAAGATATTTTCAACTCTAAATATAGTTATGGAGCAAGCAGTTCTCTTGGGAAGTTAGACTATTATAAAAACTCAAGATAATTAACTTCATAGAACATGTGCCAGAAGTCAGTGAAGAATTTCACTTCTGACAAGAAAAAACAAGTCCACCAAAAATCTGGGTATCCTATTTACAGCTCAGATTCTTGGAGCTTCCTTTCAAAGAGTCAAGCAAGAACCTGGTGGGGGCGAAGAGGTTAAATAATTTGCTGGGTGCTTTTAATTTCTTAGGTCATTTATCAGATCAGATCTACACTCTTCTCGAATAGTAGCGCTACGGAGAGAACTCGATGGTGGACGGTCCTCCTTTCTTATTTGAGTCGTTAAAAATCATTACATTCTTATTACTTAGTTGGCAATGCGAGATGATAGCAGCATGAGAACTGGGCAGGTGGTGTGACAGATCAATCTTACTTGTAAAATACTCTGGACGTGGTGCTAATGGACACTCATCATTTATTAATTTGGAGCGGCGTTAAATCAAACCAGGTGCATTTCATCATGTACACACTCCTTTGGCTTCTTTGAACTTTGGTCTTTAGCTACCGTGAGCAGAATACATCAATCTCTTTGCTAAGACTAAGAGGGACTGCGATAGTCCATCCCCGGCCCCCACACCCCCCAAGAAAGCTCCCACGTACAGGAAGGAGGTAATACTATACAACAAAGCAAAGGTAGGAAGTGGCTAAGGGCATTTCGGTAACTACAAAACCTCACAGTTTTCTCAACAGCAATCTACCTCTTACGCCTCCTCCATTTAGGTCTTTCTATTGCTTTGACACAGAGAAATCCTTCAAGGAGACTACATCTCCTGGGATTTGTATGCCAGTAATAAGCACCTTCAGAAGAGGCCTGGAAACACAAGGCAGGTGCTGGCTGAAGACAACATGGGTACACGGCTCACATGCAGCTTCCTGCACTGATGCCCATTTCTCCAGGCTGGCAGGTGCCCAGGGTTACAGGCTGCGGACTTCTCTCACCTGATGAAACCCCAGAGGGCGACATTCACTCAGTAAAGAGAACCTTCGGGGCTGCTTTCACAGATTAGTGTTGCTTCCATGTTCAGGGACGCTGCCTTTTGTTTTGGACTCATGAACCCCTTCAGAAACTTTAGGAATGTACAGTCGGTTTGCCCTTGTGAGGTGATGTCACGAGCAGATGACAATATAAAAAATGCTATATATTATGTGATTATTAAATATTGCATTGAGAAATTGCACTTAAATTCAGTGCATAATAATTTCATAATATAAGCAGGCACATTTTAACTCTCCCCTAGCTAAGGAATGGTGCTCACTACCTAGTTTACCCTCAGCATGAAGTCCACACCCTGTTACGTGCGTCCAAGGTTGTCCATAATCAGGCCTGGGTTTCTACCTCGGAAACCCCATCTCTCAATTTTCCACCCTCCTTGCCCCCAACTGTCTGCAGCCTGCTGGCGTGCCAGGCAGTATGCAACTCGGAGTCCCCTCCTGCTGACCCGCCACCCCCCAGCGGATCTCTTACGGCATTAATACTGCTTTGCGTAGGACTCCTGGTTCGTACAGCTGGCCTGCTCTCTATTATAGGGATCTGTGTCAGCCTCCCCTGGCTGTCCAGAAAGGACAGAGATGATCGAGACGGGATGGCGGTGTGCACTTCACCCCGAGAGGATGCAGCGCTTCTGAGCTACACGTCTTCAAAGCCGGAATGGCAAGCCTAGCGGCTATGGAATTGCAGCCTGGGCGTTAAGCACATCTTTTGTATAAAGAAGGCAAGGAAATAAGGCACAACTGTTACACGGGCCATGCAGTGGGGATACACTTATGTCTTTGAGCTCACGTGTCCCCACAACCACGGTGGCAGGAGGCGCTGACATGCCCGCTTTGCAGATCAGGAAACACGCAAAGGCCGTCGCAGGCCACCTCACTTATACTGGTAACCCTGCTGGAAACATCTAGATCACCTACTTCTTTCTGATCAAGTTGAAGAGAGGATTTTATTAAGTCTCGGAGTGCAGTTAGCTGTTTCTTTTCTTCATCCTGGGTCTGTTTTATCTGTGACAGAAAAACATGACTTTTATCACGTGTCCTTAATACATTTATGAGCAGAACTTAATTCATCCAAATATACACCAGTCATTAAACAGTTTAATCAGAGTTGATTTCCTCATTAAAGTCTTTGACACGAAGTCACTTTTTCTATGAAAGGCAGAGTCTTCTCGTTTTATGGAAGTACCAGTGAGTTTTAAAATAAGTGCATCTGCACCATGCTTTCTTAAGTATTCTCTGGGCAAGACGATTAAATCTGAAGTACTGTTTCAAACAAAGTTAAGAAATAACATTGAGTCACTTGCTTCTGGTTTTTCAAAGGGTGGGAACAGGAATACCAGGATGTGATTAAATGGGCCAGAAGAAAATGGCAAAAAGGACCAGAACCCAATGGGCTAATGTATACATGAAAGTTACCCTTTGCCGGAGGGTAAGGAACTGGTGATGCTTTTTTTAATCAGCTGGAACTTAACTGCAACCATGTTAACGATTAAAAGACAATCGCAGGGGCATCTGGGTGGCTCAGTTGGTTAGGCATCTGACTTCGGCTCACATCATGATCTCACGATTCGTGGGTTCGAGCCCCGTGTTGGGCTCTGTGCTGTCAGCTCAGAGCCTGGACCCTCCTTCGGATTCTATGCCTCCCTCTCTCTCTGCCCCTCCCTAGCTCGTGCTCTGTCTGTCTCTCTCTCTCAAAAATAAACATTAAGAAAAAAGAATCAAAAAATATGGTCATACTCAAAATATATGTTTAAAATTATTCAGTGCCTAGTGGTTTATGGGGAATAAACTGGTCATTTCTACTCCTGCATTTAGTTTTTTTCTCAAAGAAGTTTTTGTGATTTTACCATAAAAGTAAAAGCTAGATATCAGATGAAAGAGAAAATACAGAATAAGCAAGTAAAAAAAAAAAATCCTAAGCATGCCTACTGCGAGAGTCTTAAGTTCTATGCTTCCAGGGGCAAAACATTCTGCCACACAGACTGCAGGACACTTGCATATGGCGCTGCTGGACCCCTAATGGAGATCTATCCAGAACCACTGCTTACACATCCCTGCTCTTCCCGGGCCCCACAAACTTTAGGCTATTTGACCACTGAGGACTTTGGGGTTAAACTGTTAGGTTTATACAGACACATCACTTACTCTTGCTTCTTTAAAGTTCTTCTCATAGAGAATTCAAATTTCCTGATATTTAGCTACAAAAACAACTTAAAGTGCACATGTTTTATAAAAATACTTACATTATATAAATCAGCAGCCAGTTTTTCAATGTACTGTTTCAATTTGTCAGCCGTTTTCAAGCCATCTTGAAAGAAACTATGATAGAGAACACCAGAGATTTACCGCAAGTATAAAAAAGAAATAAACCCTAGTTACCTGAAAAATCGAAATATATTTACTCTTTTCCCACATAGTTAAACACTTTTTTAAAAAGCTAATTTATTTATTCTTTGAGAGAGGAGGGAGAGAGAGCACAAGATGGGGAGGGTCGGGGCGGGGGGAGAGAGAGAGAGAGAGAGAGAGAAGGGACCTAAGCAGGCTCACACTGTCAGTGCAGAGACTGACATGGGCTCGATCTCATAAACTGTGAGATCATGACCTGTGCCAAAATCAAGAGTCACACGCTTAGCCAACTGAGCCACCCACACTCCCCTACAGAAAACACTTATAAGTGAATTTCAGTGTTTTATAAAGATGCACCAACAGACAGATCACGGGTACCATCTGACACATGCTAGCAGCTATCACGTAGACACTACGAATTACAGCCATGGTCTCAACACAGTGATTCATGTGCCTTCCTGTCTGTCCACAGAACCATTCCTTCTGGTTGTGCCATATTTGTATGTGAAAGAGAGAGACACACACATTAACCAGTGGAATAACATGAGGTTGAATTAGATGCTCTAAGGAGAAAAGGGACTTTTCAGGAAACAAAGGCCCCAGGAAAGCTGGCCATCTTTCAGTTCCCCAAAGACCACTGGGCGCATGCTTGAAACCCAGAAGCTGGGTTGACAGTATCTGACCATGTGCACAAGGAGACTGTACCCCACACCCTGAGTCATAACCAGCAAGGACACGTGCCGCGCATTTGCGAGCTCAGTAGGCTGTGCGTTCTGGCTGTTGTTTCAACGACTCCCCACAAAAACCTTAACGAGTTCACGAGCACTTCAATCTCCTCTCCCTTTCAGAGAGTAAACTGAGGCACAGGCTGAGCACCTGACTTGCTCACACAACTAGTCAAGTGGCAAGACTGGGATTCGGGGCCAGGTTCCGATTCCGACGCCCTTGCCGGTGACTACCAAGTGAAGAGATTTCTTCTTGTCTGATGCCTCCACTGAGGAGTGCCACTCGTTCCGGTGTTTAGAATTTTCTTTTCCTTCGTGGAGGCTTCTCTACCCCTACCCCACAGCAGGTTATTTCTCCCTACGCTTTATCTGTTGCTGTCTCCCCACCAAAGAATGAGGTCCTTGAGAATGAAAACTCTCATCTCTGGATTGCACTGGGCCCAACATCAAGCAGATGCTCAGTGAGTGACTGCGTAAGAATGCAAGAAGTTTTCGGGCCCATCTTGGGATGGAGATATAGATAGATATAGATATACACATTTAAATATGTACATTTGATGGTAACAATACATCTGTATCAGAACTGGACTCCCAACAGTGATACCAAAAACTACATGTTCCAAAAATTTTTAAGGTTGACCTCTTCAGCTGAGAACCCTTACTAAAAATAAGGAAAGGAAATACTATCTTCAGAAGGCCTTCGGCAACAGGAATGGGAGAGAGGAGAGCTTTCCAGATAACTGTTAACTGGAGTCCTCCATGTAAATTCTCTTCTCCCATTTGGCTGCACCACCACTGCCTGTCAGGATGAAAGTGAAACTTCTTGGTACAGAATCGAATAAAATTTATGTCCTGGCCCCTGAATATCTTCCTGGTTTTATCTCCTACCTCTTTCCTTTAAAAGATATGAACTCTAGCCATGCTACATTTTTTTCCAACTGCTGCCCTGGCCTTTCCGTATGCTGTTCCCTTGCTGAAATGCCCTTCCCCACTGTACGTTTACTGTGCTCAGCTCAGTTGCTGCCTCCCACAGCGGCTTTCCCGTGTGTCGCCTGTCCAGGGGAAGGCATCTTCCAGCACGGGCTGTGCCCAGGCCTCATGCTAGCCCTAGAGGAGCCAGTGGCCGTGCTCTGTCCAGGGCAGACCATTCACGAACATCAACCAGAACCAGCCTCATCTACAGGCAGGGAAAGTGTCTGTCAAGGAGGCATTAACCTTGTATGGCCACAAAGTTAATCACAGCAAAACCAGTTCTGATCTCGGATACTTGGGTAGTTTCTGGAGAAAGTGTGTGAAGGCAGAACACATCAGGGTATGGTGGATGCTGTCAGAACTCCTTACGACAGAGAAAGCAAGAGCCTTAGGGTCCGAGGATTATCGCCTAGAATCTGCCGGAGGATTTCCAAGGGGTGGGACCCTGGCGAGTCACTTCACCTCTGCTCATGTGACCTGTATTCGGTGGGGCTGGAAACACACACAACACGTGTGAAATCCCTCCGCAGAGCGCTGCGAAGTGAGGCCGTGCTCAGCATGTTAGCTTTCCTTCCTGGAGCTGTGTGGGTTTATCACGAGTCATGTCCTTCCCAGGCGGACGCAGATTTGTCGTGGACACGTTTGTAAAATTGTCTCATTTTCACTTTCAACACTCTCTTTTTATTTTTTAAGGTGAGTTTACATGACAATGCTGTAGATTGGGTTTTGAAATGGGGTAGCCACTAGCAGCTAATTTAAATAAAGTTCAAGAAATTTAAAATTCAGTTCCTGAAGTCTCAGTAGCCACACGGGGCCAGTGGGTACCATGTTGGACCGTAAAGAGTATCATCATTTCCATGATGGCAGAAAGTTCCACCGGACAAACTGGAAAAACAAACTCAGCTTTGAAAAGCACATGGGGATATTACAGAAGACTCACATTTTAAGGAGGGGGAGGACACTGTTTCAGTCTGAGATGGCACAGTTGACAATGAGATGATAGTTACCGGCAGTGGAGGCAAGTGGGAGGGGGACAAATCCCTGCTACTTCTAAGGCTGAAGAAAGACCCCAATGAGTCTGTTTTTCTGCACTTGGCTTCTTCAGAACATTATGGACAGAGACCCAGAAAAATCAATATAATGAGCAACCATCTTAATCTACACTAGGACCCAATTTTTATAAGTAAATCAGACACATAAACTCAGTAATCTGAGTGAGATTATAGGTTTTCTCTTTTGTTAAATTCATTTTCTAATTATTTTCTAAAAAAGATCAGATCTTAGGCAAAACAAAATTACAGAAACAAACCGACATTTAGTCTGGAAGAAGGATGAGCTGAGCCCCTCGCAGAAACTTAGTTGAGGGCTGACTTCTGCTTTTTGGTGAGAAAGCGGAGCCGGCTGCAGGGGATGGGCTGTGGGGGGTACAGAATGGTCCCGACACTGGTAACACAGCCATCAGTAGGCAACGGCCCACGTGCTATCTACTGTCCCCTCTCTAGTGACCCCTCTGCTCTGTGTCTCAGCTACGAGCTGGGCGGGACTCAGAATCACAGTCACACATCACCTGTGACGACACTGCACTGGGGGCAGCTGGCTTCTCGTCCCCTGTTCCATTCCTCCACTTCAGATCACTCTGGTTTCCTGGAAACGCGTGAACTTTGGAGGGAAAAGTGCATCAGATTCTGGCTCTAAATCCCACAGTATGTAGAACCTTGGGTGGGTTACTGACCCTTCTGAAAATGAGTGTGATCGTCTCCAAAGGTGGGACATTTTCTGGCTTCCAGGAGCACCGGATGAGCTACTACAGATAAAAGTGTTTTGTTAATTGGAAAATGAAGTCCAAATGTCAGTTCTGATTACCTGCCACTCAACTTAAACCTGTGAGCGAGCCTTCCCCGTAGAGGGTGAAATTACCTCTCTGACATCCCACTTGTCCCTTGGCCACTTTCTCCGAAAATTACTGAAATATAATGAGATCTCTGGAAAATAGATGATGATTAACAGTAATAATAATAATGGCAGCTGGCACATAATTATTTACTCTGTGCCAGTCACTCACTATTATGCATAATTAAGTATCCCCTTTAAGTCTCATTAGAGGCCAACAAAATAATTATTATTATTAACCTATAACAGACAAGGTAACTGAGGCCCAGAGAGGTCAAGCTGCTTAACTAGGGTCATCTAGTCATTAAGTGCAGAGTTGGGATTGGAGTGTAAGTTTTCCTATCTCTGGAGCACAGGGTAGTTAAAGAAATGAGGCCGATCTGGGTCTAAACCCTGGCTCTCCGCTGAGTAACAGCAGAATCTGAATCCTTGCGCCTCCCTGTCCTTCTACAGGAAAAGGAGATAATCTCATGTACCTTGGCGAGTTCTTGTAAGCACTGCGATACTGTTGTTAGAATGCCAGGCACAGAGAAACAGTTCTATACGTGATGGTCACAAGCCAGCAAAACGAGCCTCATTATTTCTCTGACCTTAGGGACATAGCTGCATGGGCTCCACTTCTTAAATAAGCAGCTTGAAAGAAACAGGACCACAGTTAAACGACACAGAGTGCAAGAAAGTATAAGATGCCAAGTGATAAGTCAGAAGAACCCCCACATTTACACTGACAGGCTGTGACACACCCATCACCGTGGGGTGCGAACTCATCAACACTGAACGTAGTCCCCCGTCCCCCAGGCAGAACACCCCCCGCTCAGGGCCAGGCGGGGTCTTCTCTATCCGGAGAAAGTTGCTACAAACTTCACTTCTTATTCTGCATCTTCTGTCCCAAGGGAGACACTATGTTCTCTCTGCTTTTAATTTAATTTAATTTAAAAGAGAGACCGGAGCATTTCCCTGCTCAGCTTAGAAAGAGGTGTGGCATGTGGCCAAAGGCTGAAATGCTCAGACTGTAATATTATTTTCAAAAGAAGTTAGGATGTCCTGTAGTTTCAAAGAGAGTATGGTTCTCTAAAACAAATCAAATTATAAAACAAGTTAAAAAAGTAAAGTGAGGGGCGCCTGGGTGGCTCAGTTGGTTGAGCGTCCGACTTCAGCTCAGGTCATGATCTCACACTCTTGCGTTCGAGCGCCACGTCAGGCTCTGTGCTGACAGCTCAGAGCCTGGAGCCTGCTTTGGATTCTGTGTATCCCCCTCTCTCTGCCCCTCCCTCACTTGCACTCTGTTTCTCTCACTCTCTCTCAAAATAAATAAACATAATTAAAAAAAATTTTTTTTAAATAATAAAAAAGTAAAGTGACTTCTTGAACACATCAACTGTCAGC